TTTTTTTAAAAACCCCCCCCCCCCCGCACCACCAACATATTCAGCCATAACAGGCCAAATCTGACCTTATTACAGCTAGTTTATATTACCCCCCTCCCCACCTTAAATATTACAGAGCTCTGCATACATATACAAATTATTTTAATAATCAATACCTTGTTGTTTTTGGATTATCTCATTTTCCTCCTGTCCCCATTTATGGATACCCCCTTGTGCCCCCCCCCCCCCTCCACTTAGATGTATCGACCCCCTGATTACGACCTTATTTTGTATGCCTAATGTTGTATAGTAATTACACCATTGATTATAGAACAAATCTATTACACTGGTGCATTATGGTTAATGAAATATGCACTCTGTCGTCAGTATACAAACGTAATTAAATTTTCCTTTCAGATTAGCCTTAGATTTATTCACTGTATGGATTCTAGATTCCCCGCAAACAGCAATGTTTTTTATCTTCGTTACACAAGCCTGTCATTAATAATTAAATATCTTTAATTTGTTTGATAATAAAACAACACATACGGAGTAAATATTCATATTTTTTCTCTTGTTGCTAAAAAAATCCATACTTTTTTATGTGTGTTTCTCGGCCCAATGACAGGATCAATAATTAGCCGGTTTGGATGTGTATTACCAGACTCATGGCTTGGCTTAGAATAGCTGTTTCCTTTCTGCTTGATAAAACTGAGTTATTGTCTCACATTTATTGATTTTAATAATCTCATAAAAAAACTTAATGACATAATGCAGTAGACCATTATAACATTAAATACTTGTCAATATTTCATATTATGGAAATTCGTATTTTAAAGATGAAGTTTGTTCAATAAAATTTTATTGATATTTTAATAAAAATCACAATTTTCTTATTTTAAAACTGAATTTTGTTCAATAATATTTTATTGATATCTTAATGAAATCACAATTTTACGAGTTCTTCTGGGAAAAAAATGTCATTTCCTGTTCTTCATCAAGCAATTGCATCCTTTATTTTGGATGACTCACTCCTGACTCTACTTCCTCCTATTCAAATTCCATCAGATCTCACTACTAATACTACAATCCATTCAAATTCAATCTGATAACCTGTAACCCCTCCATGTTCTGTTTGATATCAACCAGTGTTTGATCTGGACTGTTCCATTACAGGTCAGTGAGTTGTCAGGATAGAGATACCCATGACATAACTGTGGGTAAAATTGTAACGCACCGAGGAATAAGGGAGATAAAAATTAAAGGAAAAACCGCCAGTAAATGAGGTACAGAACCATGTACTCTTGATGTTTCCTGGACGATGGGAAATTTGGCAGAATTGTTTTAAAATTTAACAGGTGGTTTCAAATTACTTATATGATGCAACACAAGCTTACTGATCACACACCATCAGTGGTACTAACCAGTGCGGTTTTCTCTGTGCCTGGTGGTGCATACGGGATGGTAGTTACAATTTCAACTTCAGATTTCTGGATAGTTCTAAAACAACCTTGAATGTTTTATTTGTAAAAGGCAAACATTGACTCAAGTGTCATTGTTTGGTCCCGTTCTTACTTGTTGCATGAAAGTTGCATGTTTTTCCGAGTCTGTACGTTAAATATTTAATCATTTTCATATAATGTGTTAAACATGCCTACTCATTGTCTGACATGTGAAGTGCCTCTTACGCTTTGTGTTACGAGAATCTACAACTGCACATAGCACATGATGATGAAATGACTTTCACTGCTATTTTGATTTTCCCCGGGGCGGGGTGGGGGGGTTGATCAAATTCTTCCCCTAGTAATTACGACAGTATTTATATATTGTTTTAGTCTTGCCATGTAATTCAATTACCGGAACAGCTATCTTTCTGAAGGACGAGGAAATGCAGTTATGGAGAAAGAAATATCAAAACGGTCTCTGCCTCTGGCAGTGACTGTTCCAGATTTTTTTCACCATTCTTTTTTATGCTCCAATAATTAAATTAATCAAACTATACACAGGACCCCGACACCATAATAAGATGATATAGCATCACAATTAATGATTAGTTCTAAAACATCAATTAATGAGTACTCCCTCCATACAAACTAATGAGCACTCCAAGAAGATCATTTATCATCATATAAAAAACAAATGTAATGGCAAAACACTGCTTATGGCATTGTTTGTGGATGTCAAATTAATTTGCAATCCGTTTTGGCCCGGAGAACAGGGTTATAATGATGTTTGATTGCATGACAAATGGCTATCCGGAGGGGAGTGTACCAGGAGTGTGCTGGGAGGGGGAACGGACCTGCCACAGGAGTAAAGGTCCCAGTGTCACCGAGGACAACAGGAAAACAGTGAACAACATCAATAAGTGGGCTAATTATAGGCAAACATTGGGCAATTCAACAGGTGCAGGCTTCGAAAAGTCTTCATAATTAATGGAAGAGAAATATAGTGCTTAACCGATATACCGAGATACAGCCAAAGAGACCAGAAATGGGTCTCTAAGGAGACCATGATCACCCTCTCAAGTTAATGTTTTTTTCCAGGTCTATGGAGAGACAGAATTCGGTCACACAAGCGCCACAGGAACATAGATGAAATCACATGCAACTAATTCATATGTTCTACGTATATACACATGTGGGCTAGCTACCTGAAAGCAAACTATACACGTATAGACCCATAAAAAGAGGAAGGCAAATCAAATGACATGTGAATAATGTACGTGTATAGCAAATACAATCGGGGAACATTGGACCATGTAATTATATTCAGTTTACATTCTTAATGTTCCATTACATAGACCGGTGAATGAAAAGAAGGATTAAATTTCCAGNGGGGGGGCCCTCCCTCCACAGTTTGCACCCCAAGGGAGCTATATATATAGCCCATCCTAATCCAAAAAGCCTATAGCTTTACTTGGCAACCAATATCAACACATAATCCTTGTTTACATCTATAATGCTGTTTAGAAGTCTAAAACCTTACTATTTTAATTTCCCGGCATTGCAATCTACCTGAAATGTTTTTTTTATCATTTGGGCTCAGTGTCATAATCTTGTAAGAATGTGGTAATAAAGTCGGAATTTACTATATATACAGAATCTGAAAAATGTCGCTTGTTTTACCTGTATAACAGGTAACTGGCTACTAGATACAAAAGAATGTTGAACCCTAGCCTTACTGTCAACATTCCTGGGATCCAAGACCCTCGTTATCTTGTCTGACAGGACTAAACCAAACCACCCCTGTAAACTAGCAACCCCCTTCTCCCGATAAATCTCCGGTCATCCTGCTCAAGTCAGATAAATGACCAAATAAAAAATGACCGTCCTCCTTACATTGGTTTTAACCTTCTATACTGACCCTTATACATGTTAATTAATAACTTTCTAGCTGACCCTTGTCCAGAACATGCTGTCTTTCCTTACCTTAGAGCTACTCTGTTGTTCGTCCAGTCACTATATGAGACAAAACCTCAACATTGACAGAGAGTGCAGAACCATGTACAGTGTCGACTGACCACTTGTGACAGAGAATGACCTGTTGTCTTGTCGGCTAATGACTTACCTATTTATCTTACCTGTGTAGGGAGAAGTAAAGTGCACACCTGTGTGTATGTATACCTGTATCTACCTGTGGTGTGTGTGACCTATGACCTACATGATAAACGTGTCCCAACTTAAACTGGTCCAGCCCTTTGTAAACCAACACTCTCATCTGGGCATGATAAATTTCACCTGTAAGATTTGTGACGGAGAGGTTTTTTTTGGGGGGGAGTGGTGTACGAGGGGAGAGGGCGGGGGAGGGGAAGTCATGCTGAGGGAGAAGGATTTTAAATCAACTTTTAAAAATATTTTTGGGTACATACCTGTAGGTAAGGATGGTACTTCAGATCTGGAAGCATCCTCGCTACTTTATATTCCACCATTTTAAATCACAACTAAATTCCCATAGAAGGGGGTCCAAACGCGGATAAAATACTCCAAACTTTTACACACAAGAAGGGGCTTAAACTCAAGTTTTTATCCCAAATGTTAATAACGGAGCTTTCTCCTGCACCACTTTAAGATTGAAAAGTAAATATCTCCAATAGAACGAACGAACAAGTCACCAGAGACGCGAGTCAGTTGTGGAGTTATCTTCTCATTGTCTTGACGGTTTCATATGTTTATTGCGGAGTGTGACTGTTGTCGTACAGGACCTTATGTGGACCAGATTCACTTGACAGCACTGTTGAGATACCTGTACAGGCACACCTGAGATTTCACCCCGGGGTCGTTGGGCTACAGGTGAATGGCAAACTAAATTAGGAAGGAAAGAAAAGAAAATCCTCATAATACTAGAATCAATGCTGGACAGTGTATGTATAGTTGTACAAAGGTTTGGTTTGCCGCTGATCACAAGGTTTAATCACTTATCAGTGATCAAGTATTGATCTAACCTGCATACCCCTCAGGCCCGTCACGGCTCCGTCATGGCTCGAGTCCAATCAGAGAACGCAGGGCCACAATAACAACAACAATCACACATAGCCTGGTCACTCTCCACTCTAACTGTCCTTACCGAGAAATGTGCTGTAAATCTGTTACAAATCCCCCTGATAATATTTTTATTGTAATTAGCTTAACACTCCCGAAATAATTCCAATCACTGCCAAAATATTTCCAAACTTATAGCTGTGATCCAAATATTTTCTACATGACAAATTCACAAATTTCATGCTTGATTATTTTTTGAATTATATTTTTGAAGATAAGATAAATACGATTAGTAAAACAGATATATTCTAAAAACAGTAATGCATCCTTCAGAACTGACCTCATCTGCATTATAAAGAAAATTATTTTCTTTTATGAATGATAATTTGTTTGTTTTTTATCACCAATTTTTTTCAGGAATGATATGCTATATTTGGATCAAAAGAATTTTGCAATAAATTAATTCAAATTATGTAATTTAACTTCTAAATCAGAATAGTGCACATTTCTCAGTAAAAGAAACACATCTATTTGTAATTATAGACAAACCTGGCGAACCACAACATGGAAATAAGAATGAAATTTAAAGTCTAAAATTTTGACAGAATTGGAAATAAAAACTATGACAGAGTGCCTAACAGAAATATCAACTTCACACACAGTTCACTATAAACATATCACTATCACCATATAACATAGAACGTAATGGAGGGAAACATCTGTAGCGATTTAGGAACAGCCTTGAGACGGAGAACTAGAAAACACCTCCGCATTCGTCTCTGCTAACCCAGTCAGTAAGTTATGACACTGCACTTTGGTGCAAGGCAATCCGCCTCTCACAGCCAACAACCGCAGTGGTACTGCTCTCCAATGATTCTTAGCCAACTAACCTGGTTCCGACAGCAATCTATATATTATCTACATCAGAACATACATTTCAATTAGAAGCAATCTACCTGACAAGCACACCCTATCTGTACTACAACAGATACCACAACAAAAGATTAACAATTCCACAACTTTCATTGTGTGAACAACATACATTTCCTCAACCTTTTCTGTGTTAACATCGCCAACAATTCCACAACCATTTTTGAGTTAACATAAACAGTTCCACAACTTTTCTTGTATATACAATAATATCTAATTAATCCTCATAATTTTCTGTAGCAATTCCGGTCTAAACATCGCCAACAATTCCACAACCATTTTTGAGTTAACATAAACAATTTCACAACTTTTCTTGTATACACAATACTATCTAATTAATCCACATAAGTTTCTGTCTATCGTAAGCAAAATTAACCAACAATTAATTCCATTTTGTATATACAGCAACGATTCCACAACCAACCAACTCTTTAGCAATTCCGGTCTAAACATTGCTAACACTTCCTCAACCAATGTTGTTGAGACATCATCAAAATTTCTACAACTGTTGTCTGAACATCACTGACGATTCCACAACTGCTGTTGTGTAGTAACACATCACCACACCAACAATTCCTCAACAGTTCCGACATAAACAACACCTATAAGTTATAAACAACGCCACAACTGTCCCTGTCTACATATCACCAACAGTTCTGACATAAACAATGCCACAACTGTCCCTGTCTTCATATCACCAACAGTTCTGACATAAACAACACCTATAAGTTTTAAACAACGCCACAACTGTCCCTGTCTACATATCCCCAACAGTTCTGACATAAACAATGCCACAACTGTCCCAGTCTACATATCACCAACAGTTCTGACATAAACAATGCCACAACTGTCCCTGTCTACATATCCCCAACAGTTCCTCAACAGTTCTGACATAAACAACGCCACAACTGTCCCTGTCTACATATCACTAACAGTTCTGACATAAACAACACCACAACTGTCCCTGTCTACATATCACCAACAGTTCTGACATAAACAATGCCACAACTGTCCCTGTCTACATATCACCAACAGTTCTTACATAAACAACGCGCCACAACTGTCCCTGTCTTCATATCACCAACAGTTCTGACATAAACAACACCTATAAGTTTTAAACAACGCCACAACTGTCCCTGTCTACATATCACCAACAATTCCTCAACAGTTCTGACATAAACAACGCCACAACTGTCCCTGTCTACATATCACCAACAGTTCCGATATAAACAACGCCACAACTGTCCCTGTCTACATATCACTAACAGTTCTGACATAAACAACGCCACAACTGTCCCTGTCTACATATCACCAACAATTCCTCAACAGTTCTGACATAAGCAACACCACAACTGTCCCTGTCTACATACCACCAACAGTTCCGACATAAACAACGCCACAACTGTCCCTGTCTAAGTATCACCAACAGTTCCTCAACAGTTGTTGCATCAACAACAGCAATAAATACCAGCTGACCTGGTTATGTAGGTTCTACCTCTTCCCACACCACCAGAGCTTCACCTAGCTCTAATGTCGTTTATCAAGCTATAACAAATACCGATATTATCACTAAAACCTTTTTTTAAACCCAAACTACAAATCACAATAGTTGCGTACAGGACATCAAATATGACTCTCTTCAAAATGGAGATTAGAAAATACAAAATGAATGAAATAATTGAATAAAACATCTCGAAATAATCTGACATTCCCTTCTAAAGTAAAGTACAACTGAACACCAATCAAACATTTAATCAAATCAAACCTGAAATGATCTTTTCACATTCCAACTACAGCTGTTAATTGAATTTCCTAAAATCTGTGATACCCAGGTTATTATAAGTATAAAGTACAACTTTAGTCAAATCACGATGTCAGTACAATTAAAGCCCTCGCCCTCACACACTATGGAAAGTAACACAAATTCCCAAACTCGCTAGAGAAATCACAGCGCTGTACCATGTATCGTCCTGGGCCTTAACCTGTCTCTGTACCGGTGCATCGAGCAGAATGAGATTGATATCGGACAAGTCACTCCGACGTGCGTCCCATCCCGCACGGACTGACAGGAACAAGCCTGCACTAGCTACGGGTCGCCATTAACATACCACAGTCAATATTCATACCACAACTTCATTAGCCTTTCAGACAATTCTGATATAACTGAATATTTTTACATACTCCAACCATTATTCATTGCTATTATTGGCGTTTAAATCTCCAGTTCTTTACTCCCCTACTGATACTATTTTATGTTGATTAATATAACCTGAAGTAATTGTTGTTTTCACATAAATTTAAAGAAAATTTTCATATAAAAAAGTATCTTTTCCAAGTGATCTCCATCACAAAAAGGCTTTAAACTCAGTCAATCATTGTGTCCAAAATGTTTATGCTATCCCATTGTTTAGGGGCAAGATGATGGTTTAAATTTGGTTAAATTAATCTAAACCATTAAACGCTTTGTTGTCCTATTTCCAGTGAATGATGAATTAATTCACAATCATTGTCCTGTTATCATCCTATTATACATCAATCTTGAGCATGACAGAATTTTAATGTTTGTAACGGGCCAAAATAAAGTGTTATTCATTATTTTTTAGGAACAAAAAACACCTGTTGTTGCCTCGTTAGCCTATTATCCCTGCAGTACCTTCACACCTGGTTCCTTATTACCACCTGTCGTAATGTACGGACGTGATTTACACTGTTTTAACCATCACCCAGGTGTAGCGCTTGCTAACGATGATCTCTAAATAATGCAGGGAAATTCACCTGTGTGAGTACCCTAACAGATAATCAATTAAGTCCTGGTTCATCTTACGTTATCTGATAACGACTTTACCATACCTGAGCCTTTCTTCTTTATCTTTCAGCTATTGTGTTTTACAATTAATATATTTTTCATCAACTTTTATAACAAAGGCAATTATATTTTTTAAAACCATTTACCAACTAAAAATATTAAGTGTTAATATTTATAATCTTTTCTTTTTAATTAAGATTTCCAGTTCTAAAAATCACATTTTCCATTTTTTTTCTTTTTCTAACTGTTGATTTTGGAAACATCAATTCTTTCTATTTTGTTTTTCATATATTGCCAGTGTCAAAAAAACACTCGATATATTTTTCATTTTTTTTTTTTAACAAAGACCAATTATGTTTTGAATGCATTAGTATCGTCACTGTTTCAAACTTTTGTATAACCATTTTCCAAATAATCACTTTTTCATTTGTTTTTTTAATATATTGATTTTGGAAAACATGAAAAACTATCTAATTTGTTTTTTTTAGATATTGCCAGTGGCAATGAACCTGTTTTCTTTGTATGTATACAAGTGACATACCTACAGTCCTAACACCAAGCTTGCACCTGACTGCTATCACATATTACAACCTTACCCTTAAGACATACAGTTGTCACTTTCCTGTGATTTTGTTTGTTCCAGGTGAAAAATGTGTTTTATATATTACAAATATTTGATGTCTACCACAAAGGGCCTGGGACTAAAAGGTGATAAATTTGTCGACCATAGAGGCCTACCTGTTTAAAGGTTTAGCTTGCTCCTAGTTAATGAGCATTCTTTCTACAGGTAGTAATAATTCTGATTAACCTACACCATCAACACGTTTGCACAATTTTATTTTCACTCTGTCTATGTGCTTTGACTTTGTGTGAAAATTTTAACCTACAATTTTTATTTACATGCACATATAAAAATTGTAGGTTAAAAAAGGTGTGACATGAAATATTTGATATTAAACTGAATTCACACCGATCAATTAATTACACATACCAGCTGTCAATATCCGACATATTTTTGCACCAAAAAACCAATCACCTATATTCAATCATTATTTCATTATTCCTTTCACTTCATTTAAATATCACT